AGGGTTGTTTGACCCCCGTGGGTAAGTTCTCAGTGATGCAGATGCACACCCGCATCAGATAAAGAGGGTCCCAGTTCTGTTCCTCCAGGCTGGGCCTGTGGGACTGAGGGCTGTGGCCTTGGGCAGCTGACACTTTCCAGCTCCCGGCTCCCGCCCATGCTCAGTGAATAAGAGCTCCTGGTAATTAACAGCCACCTCCTCTGGGATGCCCCAGAGGGAGGCCTGTGCCTTTAAGGAGGAATTGATCCAGCCCTAGGCTGGGCCAGGGAAGAATATCAATCCTGGAGCACTCTGGGAGCAGGACTGATGGGAGGGTGGGAGGGGTGCAGAACGGAGGCCCCAGGGGTCCCTGCCCTGACCCCCACTCCAGTGGCTGCTCTCTGCACCAGGCTCAGAGGAGCCTGCAGACCAGTGGGACCTTCGGGGGCAAAAGGTGACCTGAAACCACACCCCCGGGCCTGTGCCTGAAGTAGCAGCTGGCATCGAGGCCCTCTCCAGACACCCGTGTGTGCAGCAAGTCAAGCCCACCTCACAGGGACGGAGGCGGGATGCTACACACAGGGCAACACCCTGTGCCAGGCCTGGTGGGATAGGAGTCGGGCTCCTCCAGGTGTCCCTACCTCAAGGGCTCCAGGACAGCTAGCAAGCAGCCTCCCCCAGATGATCAGTATGGAAAGAAGCCAGCTCAGGGGCGGCAGTGGTCCAGAAAAGGTCTCAGTCCGAGGCTTAAGGCCAGGAGGGATTCCTGGAAGAGGCATCCGGGATGCTGAGCACTAAAGAGGAGGCAGGAATTATGCTGGTTGTAGTGGTACACACTTTTATGGTCCTGGCACATGGGAGGCTGAAGCAGGAGGATCTCAAGTTCAAGTCCTTGTCTCAAAAAAAAATTTTTTTTTAATAAAGAGGTAGGGCTTTGTGAGGCAGGGCAGGGAGAAGGAAGATGTTTGAACCCAGGGAACAGAGTGAGAAAGGGCAGAGGCACACGGGCAGGCTGGGGCGGGGCATGCAGAGATTAGTAGCGCGGCCAGGGCAGGGGAGAGGGAAGGCCTTAGTGGGTCCTGGAAGCTGCTCAAGGTCACTGCTAGGCTGGCTGTCCATGTACAGATGAGATGGAAAAGAAGGTGCAGTCAGGTTTCTGGAAGGCACCAAGCTCCCCCGGGAGCCCAGCCTGGCCTCTGAAAACTGCACAGCCAAGCAGCAACCCCGGGCCTGATGGCTTGTGTGAGGCAAAGGCACCAGGGAGCACAGGAGGACTCCAGGCAGCCTCTTACTCCCCCTGCTGGGTCTCCATCCTCATTTCTGTCACCCCCTCTTTACTGGGCTCCAGAGAGAGGAGGAAAAGTGAGGCTTGGCAGGTGTCGGCCCTGGACCAGGTGAGGCACATTCTCGGGCGATCCCTGGAAAATCTCTCTTCTCCAACTTGCTGTATGTCCCTGGGCAAGTTGCCTGCCTCTCCAGACCTCAGTTTCCCTGCTATAAAATGCCACAGGGGCTGGGGATTCAGCTCAGTGGTTCCACCGCCTGCCTCACAAGTGCAAGGACCTGAGTTCGATCCCTGCTGTTAAAAACAAAAAACAAAAAATGTTTTTAAAAAGCCACCATGCTTGGCCCTGCTTGCCTTTAAGGGCTCAAGGAGTGGGGTCATTCCAGGGAGAGCAATGTACAATCTAGGGGGTCCAGTTCCTGGCTGGAGCCTATGGGGCTGTGGGACCTTAGGCAGGGGCCTCAAGTTCCTCTGCAGAATGGGACTAACAACCCTCCCCTAACCGCGCACACAGCTCTGCAAAGTGCCCAGCATAGCCAGGACGAGGAGCCCCCTGCAAGGCACAGCCAGCTGCTCGCTCCTGTATTCCGCTTGGGATGCGTCGCCTTTCGTCCCAGTGGGGGGAACGGAGCATCCCACGCAGGATCACGCGTCCAAGCTGAGCGCTGCAGCCCTCCCCGCCCCGATGTATCACTAGCGTCTGATGGAAGATTCCTCCGGGAGGACTCGAGCTCCCGGCTCTGAGCAAAGCTCTTTGAAACTTAACAGCGGGTTCTTTAAAGGGACGGGAGAGGCACACTGCATCCCGACGTGTGGCTTGAACACGTCAGCATTAATGGAGGTCACCGATCCAGGGGACACAGGCCCTTCCCAGAAATAAATCAACAGCGGGGGCCGCCAGCCAACCATTTGTTTTGCTCGTTTTTTCTAGATCTTTCGCTGGAACTGAGGGGGCTGGAGGGGTAGGGGAGGCGGGCACAGCTGCACTGCATCCCTAAACTAGAGGCAGAGTCCCGTCTGATCCGAGAAGGGCCTGCCCGGTCCTCTGTGCCCAGGGCCCTGCCACCTCTGCCACAGGATGGCAGCATCCCAGCGAGGGAGGCCCTGCCTGGCACCCTCTCACTGCATCCTTGCAGCTCTCTCAGGAAACTGAGGCCCGGAGAGATCGGTGCCCTTGCCCAAAGTCGTACGGCCAATAAAGGACCTGTCTGGGCTGCGACCTCCTGTTTATCCCAGTCCAAAGTTTGACCTTAGCCACCCGCCTAGCTGCCTGTCAACAGGGTTTTGGGATCCAGAATATAAAGAACTGCCGGGCGTGGTGGCGCGTGCCTGTAATCCCAGCACTTGGGAGGCTGAGGCAGGAGGATCGCTGTGAGTTCGAGACCTTTGAACACACGGCCCCTCCAGCAGGGCCTCACACTGTCATGGGAAAGGGGCTAGGGTCTGTGTGACCACCCTGGGCCCCTCTCCCCTTTCTCCCAACTCTGCATGGTCTGCAGCCACGCAGGTCGGGTCGGCCGCCCCAACAATGTCCCGCTGCACTTAACACTCTTCGTGAACGCTCCCGTGTATAATGTTTTATGTTTCTGTCGGTTCTCAGTTACTGATTGTTTTATCAATAGTGGTGCTTAAGTGAGTGCTGTGATTTATCTGGTTCTGCCCCTGCCTCCCTGGGTGGCCTCAGACCAATCATTCATCCTCCTGAATCGCAGGATTGAAGGGGGGACCTCGGAGAGCCTCGGTCCAGGCCGGGCGTGAGATGGACAGCAGCCACCGCTCAAACGAACATGGCGCCTGCGGCAGACCAGCACACGGGGGCCCGTGACCGTGCCTGCGGAACTGTACCTCCTGGGGTCCCCTCCCGTGCTGACCTGGGACAGGCCAGGCCGCTTGCTTTGGTCAGTGGGACGCTAGCAGGCGGGAGCTAGCGGAAGCTACCCAGGGGCCATGTCCCTCTGAACACGCGCTCCTGGGGCATTGCCCGGAGACCCCTGCTATCAGGAAGTGCCGGCTCAGCACCCTACCCGGGCCCCAGCCCGCAGCCAGCACCCACTGCCAGCCGTGTAGCGGGAGCCATCTCACACGTCCCAGCCCAGGCGAGCCAGCACTGGCTGCAGCTGCCCGAGTGTGTAAAGCAGACAGAGGCAAGGGCCACCAACCCAGCCTAGTCAGCTGGGACTCTCCAGGTTTGATACTGAAAAGTCTCAGTTCCCAGTATGCCCCCACATACACCCTGTCGCCCTACTGAGCACAGATGGGGCAGAAATACCAACCCATCAACCCCCAAAAGGAAGAAGCAGCAGGTTTTCAAGCCACTGACTTCAGGGTGTTTTGTTACGCAGCACTGGATAGCCGAAACGAGTCGTGGTCTCAGCTTTGATGTGAGAATTTTGAATCTGAACACAGGACAGTGCTTTAGCACCTCGCAGGGGAAAGGCTGAGGCAGGTCAGGGTAATACAGGGTCAAGGTTAAAGGAAGTGGTACAGGGTTAGTGGTGTGGTTCGGCGGTAGAAGGTGTGAGATCCTGGGTTCGGAAGGGAGCGAGGGAGGGGAGCAGGGGAGACAAGCTGAGGTTCAGAGCCCAGACCAGCCCATAACGGCACACACATATAGTCACAGCTACCTGGGCAGCTGAGACAAGAGGATCGCAAGTTCAAGACCAGCCAGGCAGCACAAGAAAGACCTTCTGAAAAACAAAAAAACACCCCGACTCACTCCCACATCTAAGCTCTGCTCCTTTCCCAAAACGGTCCCCGCAAGAGCCTGTGTGTTATCACTACCGTTCAGCAAATGAGAATCTGCAGTTCAGAAAGACGTGACTTCCCTAAGGCCACACAGCCAGATGGGCTACCTCTGTCACTCTTAGTTTTTTGAACACAAATATCTGTGCCCGTGATCTCTGTCCTGACTCTCCAGCTTGCACAGGGAGCGTTTCTTTAGCGCATGTGTCTGGGGGTTGGTTCGGTGGCTCTGGTTCTGCATCTGGGGTGGTCGGCCTGTGGCTGATCTGGGCTGGCTTCAGGTGGGAGACTGGCCTGCCACGTCCCCTTGGCAGAGGCAGCCATGCAGGTCAAACTGTGGCCCTGTGCAAGGCCTTCAGTTGGGACTGGTGTGTCCTCACCACCACATTCTCCTGGCCAAAGCAAGTCAAGGGCCAAGTAGAACCGCTGGGAAAACAGCGGCTGCCTGTAGACTGCCGCAGAACTCAGGGTCCCACTGCAGAGGACTCGGGTAAAGACTGAAACCCCGGGGTTGTTAATTCAATCGATTATCACAGTGGCGTCGGTACCCAGTAACTAGGCAGAGCACCAGATATGTCGTGCGTCTTATCATTTATTTCTTGAACTATTCCTTTAATTTAGTTGCATACTATTTGTCATAAGTGAGCTGTGCCAACAACATAGCCCAGGCACATTTGTGCCTTTCCACAATGTCCGAGTTTATTGAATGACAATAAATTCACAAGCTACTCTGATTTCATCAGCCTTATCAGGCCAAGTACTCGAGGTTCACTCAGTAGCCAGTGAGCCGAGCAATCACAGGCTCTTCTGTTTCAGTCTTAAGTATTAATGTCTATTCAATCACTCCAGAGGCTGGGCATGGTTGCCTGCACTCAAGAGGCTGAGGCAGGAGGATCGCTGTGAGTTCAAGGCCAGCCTGAGCTATATAGTGAGTTCCAGGTCAGGTGAACTACATAGCAAGACCCTGTCTCAAAAAAAAAAAAAAAAAAAAAACAAACACTCAAGTCACACGTCACACTTTACACAGTACTATGCAGGTGACACAGCAGCTGGGAAAAGGCTAGCAGGGGCTGTGGGATCCAAGCAGAGGGCTGCGATCCAAGGCAGAGTCCACAGAGATGTGGGAGGTGACCCCAGGGGTCCATGTGAGGTTCCAGGCCTGCTGGGAGCTCAGAGCTGGTCAGAGCCTGTCTTGAGGGCAGACACTTGGAGTGGGCCGCGCGGAACTGGGAACTGGAGTTCACTGCCGGCCGACCTGACCACCCTCACAGGGTGGTCTGAGGGATGAGGTCCGGTGTGTGTCGCCTCCATGCCCGGCGGTGGGTGTCCCTTCTCTGGTATGATCCAGGTGAGAGGACAGCAGCAGTCGTTGGCCTGGTTTTGTCTGATGTAATTCAGGTATTGTCACGCGTCCGTGTGCTCTTGGTTTCATGGAGAAGTTTGCAGGTGGCTATTCTTTATCAGCACGACGAATCTACCAGCTCACACCTCGTGTTGGTGCTGTGTGGCCAGGAGCTGGCTTTGTCCATGAGTCTGGTATGTCCAGCACCTGGGGGTTATCTGTTGGCCCAGTCGAGTTTCCGAGTTACTCTGCTTAACCACTTGTGCTCCAAACAGAGCAAACTGCTGTTTTATAAAATAGAGTCGTTCGTGGCAAAGCTACCCTCCTCCACAACAGGGAGTAACTCGCGGCCTGCTGATTCACTATAGTTTGTCTCCTCAGCTTGCTTAAGGAAGCTGAATCATAAGAGAAAGCAACCGACCCAAGGTCACACAGCAGAGCAAGAACTCAAGGCTGATGTGTCCTACCCCAAAGTCTGTGCCCTGAACCCCCGAGCTGCCCCGGCTGCTGTGCCCGGTTCCAGCCCTCACATCCCAGAAGAGGCTGGGCTCTCTGGAGGCTGCCCAGGGAGTCCGGAGCCTATTTCTTGGGGAGCCTGAAGTTTCTGCTGATGCAGCAGGAAGTCTTGCTCAAAGAGATGAAAGTCCCTTTCCCGGGTGAGGCGGCTCTGCTGACAGAGGACGGGCTTCCTTTGGAGTGAGTCCTCTGGGAGGGGAGCGGGTGGGAGCCGCGGCGGGCAGAGAGGAGCCTGCAATGCAGAGCTGGTCCCAGCACAGCAGCCGTGAGCTCCCCTGTACCAACCAGCAGGGCCCAAGTCAGTACAGGTTTAGAGGACCCGAAACTAGAAATGATCGGGACCATGGCATCTAGTACAGATGGGGAAACCGAGGCCCTGAGAGGGGCAGAGGCCTAACCAAGTCACACAGCCAGATGGAGGCTGAACAGACTCTGCTGGTGACCCAGCTCGTCCCTGCCTATCTGGGACCAGCTCGGGGCTCCCACAGAGAAGGTCTCGCATCCCCAGAGGGCCCTGGGGACACTGAACTGTTTCTCTGTCTTTTCTTCAAGGAGACTCCGCCCGAATACGCATACAAGCTGATCTGCAAACACCATGTATCACACTGCTCTCAGAGCTGCATTTCCAGCCACTGATACAGCCCTTATCGCTGCCCAGGAGCATGCAGGCTCCTCCTAGCACTGGGGCTGGAGTGACGCTGCATAGGGAACCTGGCCAGTGCAGCTCAGCTGAGCCCCCAGCAGTGCAGAGCACAGGGGGATGCCGGCCACACCCCAACTTGGCCTCTGGCCTTGACACCCTGGGTGACTTTCAGCAAGTCCAGCGACCCTGCTGGGCCTCCCTCCCAGGAGAGATACGGCGAAATCAGGGGTCTTCGGAGGACATCCCTTGAGACCCCAGCGTTCCTTATAGTGGCCCCGGAGGCCTGAAGGACAGGAAGAGAAAGTGGGCTCCTAGTCCCCACCCCAGCTGCCACCAGACCAGACCCACTTTGATCCATGCAATGTGCTGGGAGTCCAGGTAATGTTGTTTCAAAAAAGGATTTGACTACTTTAAAGGAATCCTGAGCCAGATGAGCCGGGAAAGTCCTTCCAGGAGGCTGAAGGGGGTGAGGCTAGCAGCACAGAGCAGAGGCTGAGGGCCGCACTGGGGGTGGGGTCAGGACTAAGGGAGGGCACGGCTCCCCACCTCCACCCCTTGCCCACCTCCCTCCACCTCTGCCTCCCAGCTGCCTCCCTTGCAGACAGCAGGGCTGCGGAAGGAAAGCTGATCCCTGTCTCCAGGTGTGGCTTTGGGACACAGCCCTTGCTCTCCCTTGCCCTCCTCTGTCTCCGTCCCTCCTCACTGGGCAGTGACTCGGTGCCTCTGCCCTGGTGAAGGGCTGCAGGAGAAGCTAGAGCTGGTCTTGACCCTGTTTCTCCTCTGCTGCAAGTGTGTGCTGCTGGGGGCGAGGTGGGCCTTCGAGATTGTCTGGGGAGCACAAAGCACACCTTCAGTGCGCTTCTTGTCTTCCCGGAGTCCCTTGACTTAGTCTGCTCTTAGTCTGTGCTACTGCAACAAAATAGCATGGATGGGCTAAGGGATAAACTGGTGTCTTTGGCCCCATTCTGGAGGCTGGGCAGTCGGGATCAGAGACCACACCGAAGAGGACCTTCTTGCTGTGGCCCCCAGAAGGTGACTGGAGGGCCGGCAAGCTCGCTAAAGAAAGAGAGGCAATCAGGCAGAGCTTGCTCATCAGAAACCTGCTCCTGCCACCTCAGAGCCTCTCGAGGGACCCACTTCCAGGACAGCAGAACCCTCCCGACATTGACAGCATTCGTCCACGCCGGAGGGCGAAGCCTCTGATCCCCTCTGGAAGGTTCCACCTTTAAAGCTCTCACAGTGGCGATCACATTTCAACACTCATCTGGAAGGGTCTCTCGAACCCTAGCCACACCAAGCCCAGGGAATCTGGCCAGGGTGCCTGGCTCGGGCGCCATTCGGTGGGTCCCTCCTCCTGCACACAGCGGGGGCTGGCCATGGGGCTCCATCCGGACACGGTTACCTGAGGGCTGGTCGCAGGTCCTAGGGTCACCCCAGTAGGCAGTGCCCAGGTGGCATCTGTGGAGAGACCAGAGTTGTCCCTCTCAACGCAGATCTGTGACAAGACGTGATGCCAGTCGTTTGGGATTTCATCCCAGGAACCAGAGGAATAGGCTGGGGAGGGAAGAGGGTAATAATCGCCTTCTCAGAGTTTTGTGAGAGTTAAAATAAACCCACAGAAAGCCCCATAAAGTTCGGAGCCCATGATCAGCACACGAGTTTGCTAATGGAGTTGTTACCAGCGTGATTTTTATCATCACCTGCTTCCGGTGCCCTCATGGGCTCCGGGGGTAGCACAGGCTCCCGTAGCCTTGTGTCCAGGGGGCCATCTATGCCGTCACTTCGCTGTCCCTGTGAGTCCCGCTCTGTCTCCCTGACGAGGCAGGGCTGGGACTCCCCGTGCTCTGCTGAGGGCCAAAGAGCCCATGACCATGCAGCCACACACCGTCAGCCCCGCGGTGTCTGGGAGGCCAGCATCCAGCCACCTTGGGTGGAAGAGGAATCTGTGGTCCACGTGGGGCCATGCGGAGCCCTGTCGTGTCTAAGGCCAGAGCTCAGGCTCCCTGATCAGGCCTCAGAGCTGGCACTTGTGAAGGTGAGAGGCTGCCTCTCGACTCACACCCAGGTGAGGCGGCTGCATCCCAGAGCAGGTGGGCTGTGGCATAGGGACAGCTTCCCCACCTGACTGTGGCCGTGAACCAGCAGGAGGCCCCTCTCCCTTTTGAGCTGTGAGGCCCTGAGATGTCCCGGAAGGACCTGGAACATTCCAGAAATGGCAGATGAAGAAATGCCTATCTCCTCAGACACCAGGAAACTGGCATCGCAACGGTTCCTGAGGACCTGGCAGCAACACTGCAGAAACAACGGGGGCTCAGAGAGGTGGAGCCACTAGCCTGGGGGCCTACAGCAGAGCTAGAAGCCTGAGAAACTCAGAGCCTCCCTCTCAGGGTGTCAGGGTGCTGCGCTCACACAGTTCGGCCTTCGTGTCTGGCACCAGGTGGAGCCAGGAGCCCTGCTCACCTGCTCTCTGAAGGCCTGTGTGCCCATGGTATGGAGGTGGGAGATGAGCTCAGCGAGGAGCAATGTGTGCCCCTGTCACCCAGGCGTGAGGTCAGAGCCGGGGTCTGGCCCCACCTGCTGGTCCCCTTGGGCGACTCCGATCTTCACCCAACATGGCCTTCGGGAAGCTGAGATCCTTAGAGGAGAGGCCAGCGGAGGCAGAGGCCACAATCTACAAGCACCTTGGAAAGACAGAGAACCGTCTCTGCAGACGCCCAGTGCCTCCGAAGGCAACTTAGCTTCATTTTCCTTCCCGTCCTCGGTTTCCTTTCTCTCCCCACAGCTATCGATCCACCATGGCCGCCTCCGTCCCTCCAGCAGCCCAGGGCCGGCTCGGTTACACAGCCGTACCTGCCACTCGGCACCCAGGCCCCCACCTGACAGCTGAACCCCTCGGGACTGACTGGGGCTGGCTCCTGGCACTTCCTACGCCCCCGGTAACTTTGGGTTCTTTTCTGTACCCCAGGCCCACGGGGCTTCCTGATTCTTGCCCGGAAGTCCCTCACCAGGCCTATGCTCCTGGCCTCTCCTCCCTGCCTTCTCAGAAGACAAGGCCAAGAATGGCCGCTTGCTCGGGTGGGAGCCGCTCCGCCAAGCCCGTTCCCAGCTGGGTATCGGGGCTCCGTGCATGGCTGCTGAGTGACTTGAGCGACCAACAGGATCTAGCAAAGTGCTACCTGCAACCCGTCCAGTAGGGCCGCCAGGTCGGGGCTCCTTTTGGAAACCCCCAGCCCTGCAGATGCCCTGGGCAAATGACACGACGTCTCTGTGCCAGTGTCCTCGCTGTAAAATAGATAGCAATACCTTAGGTGGCATTGTGAGGGGTCAGGACTGCGGGCCGCTGCCGTCCTGGGTCAGCACCAAGCTCTGCACAGACCTGAGCTGTTCCGGTCAAGCCGCTCTGTTAGTGGTCACCGGCATCACCTGGTGGCATCTCATTTACTCGCCTGTCTTTTGCCACCTGTCTGTGCGACTGTCCATGTCCCTCCACATCCCTGAGTGCCCCACCTGCGGACCTTGGCCTCCCCTCCCACGGTGGCACCTGCCACTCCTCTGCGAGGCTGCCCTCTGGCTGCTGGAGCCGTCTGGTCGCCATCTGCAGCGAGCGGAGCTGCCCGGGAGTCGGCCACCTGGCTGATGATCGACAGTTCCAGGAGTCAGGGCCGACTCTGGGGTGTAACAAGCTCCAGGTGCCCCCGGAATCTGGCTGAGGCCCCCTCTGTAGGGCTCTGCCTGAAATCAACCCTGAGTGGCTGCCCCATCCCTGCCTGCTCAGGCTTCCTTGCTCCCGAAGGACCCAGATCATACCCACACCCCAGTCTCCCCACAGCCACCGGGCAGTGGCCGATGTCTGCTCGCCTCACTCTGCGCCCAGCTGTGCCCACACGTGAACCTGTGATGGCATCGGGACTGAGACTGGGAATCAGCCAAGCACAGACCCTAGGGGGCGGGGGGGGTAGAGGCCCAGCCCTGGGGTCTCCCCTGCCCCGCCGGCCCCACCCCGTCCATGCCCAGCCCCTCTCATTCTGTTCAGAGGAGCCATCTGTGGCCATAAATGTTCAGCAGAGCGTGTGCGCTTTCATACCCAAGCCTGGAGCTGCATAAACCAGCTTGTAAAACTTAAAGGCAAACTGAGCTGGGTCCCCAGGGGCAGCCTCAGCGACATTCCCTATGGCAGGGACGAGGCAGGTCACAACCACGTTAAGGCCGGAGAGGAAAGAAGGGGCGCTCTGGTCCCAGCGGAAGGTGGCCCCGTGTATTGGTTTGTGATCACCTGGGCTGAAATGCAGAAACAGGAGCAGGCTCGCAGCCGGACCCCACCACTGGGCGAAGGGGTTGGACGTCTCGTCCCACGCAAACACAATCGGTCCTCGCATCCACTTGTGGGCAGGGGACCCCACCTGGGACTGCGCAGGACAAAAGCCCTGGCTGTCCTGGAGCCTCATTCTGGAAGGAAAATCCAACAAAGAATCAAACAGTCACCATTCAGAACTCAGCAGTGCCATAAAGATGGGAACAGGAGGCTATAGCCCGCTTCAGATGGAGGGTCACAAGGAATGACACCCCAATAACACCTCATCACCCCAAAACTCTAGGCTGCTGCCGCAGGCCACTGCCCACCAACCGGCACTGCAGGCTGCTTCCTGATCCCTGAACCGCAGGCCCTGCAGCTCTTTGCTGATCAGCTGGATCAGCACAGGCTCCCATGGGGCCTTCTCAGACCAGCTCCGCTCTCCACCTCGGGGCACCGTGCGTCAGGTGTGGGCCCTGAAACCACAGCACTAGGTTCAAATCCCACTGTGCCACTTACTGGGCGTGAGCAAGATGATTCAACTCCCTGAGTTTCAACTCCGGCACTGGAAAACGGAAATAAACACAGCACCTACCAGGTTCAACTCGTCGGGAAGATTACATAGTGGGGGGGGGGCGCATCCCAAGCCCACCTTAAGGGTGGCGATTACTGCTGTGTTTGTGATTATGATTCCTTTTTCACTATTACTGGAGATGGCCCCGCAGCCCCCATGAGCAGATCCAGCAGGTTGAAAGTGGAGGTGGAGGCAGAGAGTGGGGGGCTTGGGGGACATATGCTGCAGGCTTCTGGCTGAGACAGGAGAAGCAGCCAGTCCGGCAGAGGTGGAGGCTGTGGTGCTAGGAACGGGGGAGGTAAGGGCCAGGGATGTAGCTCAGTGGTTCTGTCGCCTGCCTCTCAAGCACAAGGTCCAGAGCTAGATCTCTGATACCAAAAAAAAGAGTTCAAGGGGAGGCAGGACCATCTAGCTTGGACAGCCCCTGGGAGGGACCCTGATTTGTAAGGTGAAGGAGGCAGCACAGCCAAGTCCAGGCTTCGGCCAGGTGGGGGTGCTGTGAACTGGGCCAGAACACCTCGGCCTCCCGACATCTCCCTGGCATCTGTGGCCAGATAAGGAAAACCTGCAATCCCACCTCCCAGCTCTTTGCAAGGACTGAGGGAGGTCAGGGCAAGCCGTCAGCTCTCCCTTAACTCAAGTTAGGGATGTTATGGGGGAGAGAGTCTGACTTTCGGACGGAGTGAACTGAAGACTCGCGACTTTACAGTTTCTAAATGTCTGCAAACATAGAACCTAATTCTCACTGGACCGCTGGCTCTGCGAGACCAAGACGCGGTCTGCTTTGTTCTGGTTTTATCGTAGTGCCAGCATCCAGAGCCTGCCATGTAGAAGGTGAGGGATATCTGTGTCTGCATATGTGTGTGTGCGAGTGTGTGCTGGGTGAATGTTTGCATGAATGCATGGGCAAAGCTGTCCACTTGCCCAAGCCAGAGACATGGACCCCGTCCCTGCCTCTTCCTGCCCCCTCCATCCCTGGCTCACCCCTCACTTCCTCCCGGGCAGACAGCCGCCTCGGCCACTCAGACCCCTCACTCACCTCCCAACCCCAGCTTAAGCATCTCATTTGCAGAAAGGAAGGAAGTTCACTAAGCAAATTGGGGGCCTTCTACAGCAAGACCGAGCCATTTCAGGCTCCAAAGAAAGTCTTATCTAGGTCACAAAATTAACAAGGAACAGCTCAGAGCAAGAGACCCACCCTGGCAGACCGAGGCACTGCAGGCCGCAGCGCACCCTCCCTCCTGGGTGCTGAGCGGGCAGCTGGTGGAGCGGGACCTGGGCAGGGGCCGGACCAAGTGACTGGCAGTGTCACACAGCCCTGAACGGTGGCACAGGGGAGCCTCAGAGCAGTGGCCGTCACGCTCCGATACCTCCGCTCCCACCTCACCCAGCGCACTTGGAACCTGAGTCCAGTAGTTCCCGCCTCGTTAAGCAGCCAGCATAGGGCCCTGGGACATGTCTTAATTAGGTGACCGCACTGGCTTGCATAAGTTAATTTGATAAAGATAATGAAGTTCAACAGAGCAGAGCTGACCAGGTTTCCAAGAGCAGCGGCCCTGAGGCCTGAGCTCTGGAGACGGGGACCTGGGGAGAGGTGAAGGTGCTTGTGGTAGGGGTTCTAAGACATACTGTCCCTCCCCTGTCCTCCTCCAGAGGCTGCAGGACCCAGGGATGCATCTCGCCCTAAAGATCCCTGGAAACAAGCTTGCCACATGCCGAGGGGGTCAAGTCACCAACTTCCCAGAGCCTCTGTTTTCTCAGGGGCCTCCCAGCACTGATTAAATAAGGAAATACACACAAAGCACTTGACACGTGCCTGGAGTTGTCAGTGACCCCTCACCAAACAGTAGCACCCATTTTTATTACTATTGCAAAACAATGGACCCGCCCCTCAATTTCCTCTCCCTGAATCTTGGGTGTCCACGTGGCTCTTCTGGCCAAACCATTAAGCCCTGATTCCATGAGCTTTTTCTCATGCAGGACCTTCTGCTCCCACTGGGACTCAAAGGGTTGAAAATCTGAGGCTGGGATTTAAACTCAGTGGTGTTGCCACCTACCTCACAAGCAAGGTACTGAGTTCGATTTCCGGTACCAAAAAAAAAAAAATCTGGTCAAGATCACACAGCCAGTAAGTAGTGGATACAAGATTTGAACCCAGTTCTTTGATGACACCCCCACAAGGAAAGCTGGTCCACATGAAGATGTGGGAGCCCTGGACAAGTGAGTGACCAGAGGCAGCACAGTTTTGACCGTTCTGTCTTCCTTCTGATCCACCATCTGCTTACAAACACCACCAGCTGCTGGGAAGTAAACCTTAAATTCACACCGCTCATGTACCAGGTGAGGCCAAGGGGGGTGGGAAGATTTTCAGGCGAGGGATCAGGAGTCCTGGGGTTCAAGTCACAAGTGTCTGCGGCACCCTAGCAGAGCCACACCCTTTCGAAGTCTCAGTTTCCCCACCTGTAAAGGGGGAGGAAGATTTCAAACTCTGAACACCTTCCCAGCCTGACTCATTGCACAGACCCTCCACCGAGCCACCTGGTCTTAGGTTTGGGGCACCTGAAACTTCTTACCAACACGCGAAGGAGGGCTGGTCACATCGGAATCACCTGCACTCTGTCCCCTGAGAGAGCAGCAAGAAGGACTGAGGGGGTGACATCAGGAGGAAGGATCCTGAAGGTGGAAGTTCTCCTTGGGACATAAAATCCCAGCGGCTCTCAGCCGAGAATAACAGTGAAGGTGCTAAGTGCTTTCCCTTGCTGTAATCTAGAGACAAGCACTGGGTGTCTAATTAGCAAAATATTAGATAATTGGTGTAATTGGGTACAATTCCCTTTCTGACAGCCTCGGCCACAGTTCCCATTTCAGGCTTGAGCTGCTGGTAGCATTGGGCTGATAATTGTAATAGTGAGAATGAAAAATCAAATCAGAGTCATTGGAGGCTCTCATTAAATTGACTTAGAGCAGGAGAAATT